TTTATCATTTTAAACAATAACTGAAGGCAAGGGTCATGTGCAAGACAGGCAGTCCACGACTGAGCCCAATATTTCTGTTAGCGAAGCGAGAGGTTGGTCAAGTGAATTTTGCTCCATTTTACCACTTTTCTTGCCACTGTTGTTAAGTGAGTCACTGCAGGTGTTACATTAGCAACAGGGCTGTTAAGGGCATCTGGCTTCCCCGTGGATTTTGCTTGTCAGAAAGTTGCAAAAGGGGTTTAAAGTGACCCCCCCTGGACACTGTAACCATCATAAATATGAGTCGGTTGCCTGGATTTTGATCACATGACCTTGAGGAGGTCATAAATGTGAAAAATGGTCACTTTTTTCAGTGCCATTGTAGCTTTGAACGGTCGCTAAATGAACTGTTTTAACTTGAGGACTACCTGTACTCTTTCCACCTCCTATTTTCCCCACAAAAAGCAGCCTTCTAAAAGTGGGTTAGGCTGAAAGAGAATGACTGGCCCAAAAATCTCCAGGAAGCTTTTATGACGTGGCAGGACTAGAACCAACCACCTCCTGGTTTAAAGCCAACATCTTAACTACAACACCAAACTGGCTCTTCTTTCATGCACCTATTTTGATCCATGAAATATTGGGAGATGTGTAAACCAATAGTTTGATAGCACTTTCAGATATTTAATGTTTCAAAAGCAAATATAACAAAAGCCATTGAAGAAGATATGTTGACACTATCCACCCTGTTTTTGAGATGACAGAATTAAAATTCGATGCAAAAGAGACCTAACAGACACCGACTAGTGAGTTTATGCACAAGTAGGTGGCTTTTCTTCTTTTTCTTTTCCCTTAATTCATCTTTGTTTCCTTCACCACCAGAAATGAGCATGTTCGGTTGCTTTGAAACTTTCATCCTATTTTCTTGACAGAGACAATCAATTTCCACTTTCAACTGTCAACAGATTCTCTTGGAATAGTCTGAGGTCCTTCATCTGATTGGCTACTGATGAGCTGTTGGAGTTTGAATTCAAAATATTGTTTCAAGCAAAAGATCATTCAACTTGGGTTAATTCTAGAATCTTTCCTCACCCACAGGGAAAGCTAGATAAAGGCTGTTTTCTTTGCTCATTCATGCTATGAGAGATTGAGTCAGGTGGACTGGTTTTATAGCTTTCCCTTCTATGGCAGTTTAGATAGCTTGGATGAATCAGTTCCTGTATTCCTTCAGTTCTGCTCTTCAAGGAATTCCAAGGATAATGAATTAGCAAACTCCCCCTAAAGAGTCACCAATGGTCAAGGGATCATAAAAATCCCTTTAGTGTTTCAATTATCAAAATACGTCATAATATTCTTTCCCGTACACTCATGCATGTGTATATGAGTATGAGTGCATAGATAGGTGTGGATTCAAAGTAAGAAATTTTTATGGTCAAATAATCCTGCCAACTCTTGGACATGATGGATTGGCTTGGTAGCATTTTATAGCTCTCCAGAGTCAATATATTTCTGAATTTCTGAGTGAAAGGATTGTTCCTTCCTGGATTTATCTATTTCATCCCATTTGACTTTGAAATTATATATAAAAATATAGTAGAATAGATACTGTCAAGCTTGTTCTCATTGTCCCACAGGTACTCCCCATTAGCAGACATAAACATGGCTGAATCCAGGAAAAGTGTACAAATAATAACTAAACGAGTCAGGGAGCATGAAGTCCTGAAGACATCTCCAAAACGTGTGAGTGTGAACAAACTTGGGGTTTGCCTCGGGGTTGCATTACTTGGAATTTGACAAACTATATGATGACAATCAAAGCTGTCATCATCCAAGAAGCTTCTTCAGCTCTGTTTTTCTTTGAAGACATTTTGCTTCTCATCTGAAGAAGCTTCTTGGATGAGAAGCAAAACGTCTTCAAAGAAAAACAAGAAAATCCAGTTGCCTCTTGAAAAAGCACCTTATATATAATTTCTCAGATGATTGACACGGTCCATGTCATAAAAATCAGCAAATACAGAAGACACCTATAAAAAAAAATCAAATGTTTTAAAACCAGCTCTTTTAGAAACTGGTGAGGTGGTTTGATATTGATTTTTCATGAGAAAAGATATCAAGCTGTTGTCTATTGTGGGGAAATTCCATGAAAAGAGCATCACAGTGAAGAAGAGCATTAACAAAGTAACATGGAGAGGACTTCTGTCTTACATCTTATAGCATTACAGATAGTTCTCGTCGTGTGCCATTTGTTTAGGAACGGTCAAAGTTATGGTATTGAAAAAAAAGTTATTTACAACTTGTCCTCACAATTACAACCATTACAGCATCAAAAATCTATCCAACATGTATTAACCATGGTTGCAGCATCCTGGGGTCATATGATCACGATTTGTGACCTTTCCACTGGCTTCTGACAAACAAAATCAATAGAGCAAGCCAGATTGAGCCATGGTGGTGCACAATGGTTAGAGTGCAGTACTTCAGGCTACTTCTGCTGACTGCCTGTAATTTGGCAGTTCAAATCCCACCAGGCTCAAGGTTGTCTCAGCCTTCCATCCTTCTGAGGTGGCTAAAATGAGGACGCAGATTGTTGGGGCCAAGATGCTGACTCTGTAAACCTCTTAGAGAGGGCTGTAAAGCACTGTAAAGTGGTATATACATCTAAGTGCTAGTGCTACTTAATGGCCATGTGGTTCACTTAACAATTGCAGTGATTTGCTTCTCAACCAGGGCAAAAAATCAGGCACAATTGCCTTGTTTAGTAAGAAGAACTCTGGTCCCAATTGTAGTCAGAAGTCAAAGACGACCTGTTCTGATGGCTCAGTGGAGAATCATTCCAAATCTATAGTTTTTCCATAGAAAATACTATCCTCTGGAATTATGTGTGACTCACTCAGGAAACAGACTGCAAAATACATTAAAGTGAAGTTAAATCAGGACATCCATTTGGATTTATGCAAAACTGAGCCAATAGTTTCAATGAGCAAAAAAACCTCATCCTTGCATATAAAATAAATCAATCTGTTCTATGCATTGTTAACACGACAGTCACAAGTCCATGATCAACATTCTCTGGGTACACATGTGTAAATCTGGGGTACATGCAGAAGGGATAGGACTCCAGTCACTTCTCGTAGATATCACCTTGATTTTTGGGGGAGGGAAGGGATAAGTTTGGGGGGTGTCATTGCAATCCTCATTCCCCATTTCTCCATGTAATAAGCCTGGGGAAGATGACATGAATATATTCTATCCCATGTTCTTGAGCTGCTGCTGTCAGATTCATGAGCTGTTCAGTGTCCTCTACCAAATACATTTCTCAGACAAACATATGGGCTTGTAGTTATCTTTTGAAGCTTATAGGTAAGCATTTAGCCTTCATTTCTGAAGTCTTCTAAGGCTTCTTCCTCTGTTCCATAACTGAAACACTTCCATGAAAACCTGCCACAATATCACAGAAAATAACAGAATGATAGTGTTGGAAGGGATTTTAGAGGTCTTCTAGCCCAACCCCCTGCTCAAACAGATAACAGAGAACAGATAGTCAGAGTTGAAAGGGACCTTATAGGTCATCTAGTCCAACCCCCCCCCACCCGAGGTGGAGACTCTACACCATTTCTGACAAAATGGCAGTCCAATCTCTTCTTGAAAGTCTAAAGTGATGGCGCTCCCACAACTTCCAAGGGCAAGCTGTTCCATTGGTTGATCTCACTGTCAGAAAGTTTCTCCTTATTTCCTTCCAGGTTAAATCTCTCCTTGTTCAATTTCCATCCATTATTCCTTGTCTGGTCTTTGGGTGCTTTGGATAATAGCTTGACCCCTTCCTCCCTGTGGCAGCCCCTCAAATATTGGAAGACCGCTATCATGACTCCAGTGGTCCTTCTTTTCACTAGACTAGCCAAGCCCAGTTCCTGCAACCGTTCATCGTATGTTTTAGCCTCCAGTCCCCTAATCACCCTGGTTGCTCTTTTCTGTACTTTTTCTACAGTCTCAACATCTTTTTTATAATGTGGTGACCAAAACTGGATGCAGTACTCTAGGTGTGGTCTTACTAAGGCTTTATAGAGTGGTATTAGTACCTCACTTGATCTTGATTGTATTTCCTATGTTAATGAAATTTAGGATTGCATTAGCTTTTTAGTATCATCTGCAAATTTGGTAAGTTCCCCTTCTATTCCCTCATCTAAGTCGTTAATGAAGATATTGAAGAGTACTGGGCCTAAGACAGAATCTTGTGGCACCCCACTGCTTACTTCCCTTCATGTAGACTTAGACCCATTAAGGACTACTTGTTGAGTATGTTTTGTCAGCCAGTTGCGAGTACATCTAGTGGTGGTGCTATCTATTCCAATTTTTTCTAGCTTACTAAGAAGTAGGTTATGTTCTACTTTCTGATTGTTATGGGTAATTTATTTATTTTTTGGCTTTAGGGGTTATTTTAGGTACATAAAGATTAATGACTCTGTTAACTTGAAGCAAAAAAAAATGTTATAATGGGCTTCTGCTATTCCTTCTGCTGACTGCTGGCTGCCTGCAATTTAGCAGTTCAAATCTCACCAGTCTCAAGGTTGACTCAGCCTTCCATCCTTCTGAGGTGGGTAAAATGAGGACCCAGATTGTTGGGGGCAATATGTTGACTCTGTAAACTGCTTAGAGAGGGCTGTAAAGCACTGTGAAGCAGTATATAAGTCTAAGCACTATTGCTATTTTAAATAATGAAATTGAATTGTTGAATTGTCCCACAGCAAGTTGGCCATGGCAAGTTGTCTGCAGCTGTGGTGAATTGACCGTGGTGAGTTGGCCTATTTCATCAAGGAAAAACAAAGCACCTTTGGGACAACCATGACTTTGAAGACTGAGAATCTCCATAGACATCTAGATACATGCATTTTTGTGTGTACATGTTGTGGTTTCATAATTATGACAGTTCGAAGGATTATGTTAATTAATTATTTAATTAAAAGAATCATTTCAATTTTTAAAAAAGTCAGTTCAACTCACAGTGTGCTATTTCTTTTTAATAGGAGATGACAAAGTCACTTCTTTGGGTTTCTTTTGCATCCAGCATCTTAAGCGTGCACCATGGTTACTTTATCTGGATAGTTTATTCACCTGGTGTGGTAAGACCTTCCTTTAATGCAAATTTCTTTCTAATCTAAGGCAGTGGTCCCCAACCTTTTTGGTACCAGGGACCAGTTTCACGATTATTCATTCTTTGCGGCCCGGTACAAAATGATCCACAGACCGGTACCAGCATCAGCACACATGACCAAGGCAAGCCGAGCCGAGCAACCGGCCAGCCAGCCATCCCCCGCTTCTCCCTGCCACCTTCAACTCCTCCTTTGTACCTTCGCGCTGTCGATGGGCTTTTCAGGCTCTTTCTTAATCTCCTCCTGAGTAACGCGAGACTCCACTGCCATCGGGACGGCTCTTCGTTCGAAGCCGCCCATCCTCCTTCAACGAAACTAAGGCATGAGGATTCCTTCAGCACCCAAACGCCGCTTTCCAACAGACGAATGACAAGCTCACCCGGAAGCACTTTCTCAAGCGCCGTCGAAACAAGATGGCGGCGCCCAAGCAAAATAGGCGGCCCAGTACAAAATGATCCATTGACCGGTACCGGTCTGGGGCCCAGTAATTGGGGACCACTGATTTAAGGGGTTTGCATAAGATTCAATCCCTCAAGTAATTATGTCTGTCTGCCTGCCTGCCTGCCTCCCTCCCTGCCTATCTATCTATCTATCTATCTATCTATCTATCTATCTATCTATCTA